ATACATGAAAGAAGTCCAACAGGAAGTTGACTTCACATCTTTGACACAAAAGGCTGTGTCTGAGAAAGTTCTATGTTGTTCCAGTGAGCTCTGGTTAATTAAAAGGGATTGTTTTGTGTTGCTGTCATCCACTGTCTCTTGTGCACGCAGCGTGAGAGAGACCCCGTGTAATTACCTTTTAAGAGACACGCCGCTCTCATCAGAAACCATCACTGCCAAAGTCTTCTCAACATTATCAAAACTCCAGGAGCAAAGCAAGGTTCATTAACACCGTTAAGATACACGGGCAGTAATTAAACGATTTTTACAGCTTACTGAACCATGTTCGTTCACTGACTGCACACAGAGGATCAGAGACAGGTTATCTGGCATATTTGGGCTTCAGTTTACCACTAATTCATTGGAGTCACAGGATAATGCAACTGGAATAACACACATGAAAAGTCTGAATGGAGGCGAGAAGATTGTGAAATACTTTGTTAGTGGTAAAACATACTAACAGATAATCATGTTTAATTTAGATCTTGATCATATATACAGTGTAATTAACCTAGTAAGAAAAAAGTATGACCGCCATTTGTAAAATCCACTATAAAAAGATTATTTTACATGATACAAGGTTAAATTCTTCCACACAAACTGTCTCAGCACTATTTGGTTTTGGTTTTATTTTATTATTGCTTTATTTCTGAACAACTGACCATGACAGCCAGTGATCACCATTCATTTCATGTATTTCCCTGTATGGAAAAGAGCAGAGCTGACATTTTGATATTTCCGTTTGTGTTCATCTGTAACCACGGTAGATATTGACATAAATTTCCATTTAAAGGTTTAAGATCTGGACAGTTTTTGGTTGGTTGGATTTTTTTAGCTCATCAAGGCTGCATTTATTTGATCCAAAATAAACTATAGTACAGAAATAATGTGAAATATTGTTAATATTATCCAAAAATATGATCTATAATAAATTATTGGTTCAATATGAAAGAACTGTTTTCTATTTGAATATATTGTAAAATGTCCTTTATTCCTGTGATTCAAAGCTGAATTTTCAGCACCATTACTCCAGTCTTTAGTGTCACATGATCATTCAGAAATCATTCAAATATGATGATTTGCTGCAGGAAACATTTATAAATATTATCAAGGTTGAAAATGCTGCTTAATATTTTTATGGAAAGCATGACATTTTTTTTTCAGGATTATTTAACAAATCGAGATTTACTAAAAGAACAGCATTTAAAATATAGGTATATATTTAAAATATAAATATAGTCTTTTGTAACATTATTAATATCTTTACCTGTGATAATTTATTGCATTCCTGCTAAGTAAAAGTATTAATTTATATATACTGTGTGTGTGTGTATGTATGTATATATATATATATATATATATATATATATGAAGAGTTCAGATGCAAAAGCCTCTAAATGCCATTTGAAATTTTCTTCTTTAATGATGATTTTTATCAAACTTGTATATTTAAGTTCAGTAATTTCACTTAAATGGCAATAATAATTACCTATTAATTGTTATTTAAGTGAAATTACTGAACTTAAATATACAAGTTTGATAAAAATCATCATTAAAGAAGAAAATTTCAAATGGCATTTAGAGGCTTTTGCATCTGAACTCATCATACACACACACACACACACACACACATATATATATATATATATACACATATATACATACATATATATATACACACACAGTATACAATATATACACACACACACACACACACACACACACACACACACACACACACACACACACACACACACACACACACACACACACACACACACACACACACACACACACACACACACACAGACACAGTATATATAAATGAATACTTTTACTTAACAGGAATGCAATAAATTCTCACAGGTGAAGATATTAATAATGTTACAAATATGCTATATACACACATATATTATGTAAACACATTTTAGATGCGATTAATCGCGATAAATCGTTGCCCAGCCTTAATATATAAATGTGTGTGTGTTTGTTATTCCATATATATATATATATATATATATATATATATATATATATATATATATATATATCTTACTAACCCCAAACTTTTGAACCACAATGGATGATTTCTGCCACAGTTCTTAAACACTTTTTACCCAATTGTGTAACATTATTATAAACAAAAAAACAAGTAAACAAAAGTACCAGTAACAATGAGAACTAAGGAGTAGTAATAACAAGCAGTACTGTTTCCAATAAATATATTTTTAAACCTTTTCTCTTTGACTACTACTGGTACTTTGAAAAAAAAAACAGAAAAAGATGTTAACAGATGAAGAGAAAATTATTTCTAATGCCAAGGGTCTGACTATATCAGTTCAAAAGGTTATCATGGACACAAGTGCCAATTTTTTATTCACTTTGTGTATTTTTCCTTTGTAATCAGGATGTGATAGTGAAACCAGCATGGACCAACAAAGCAATGCATCAACAAAAGAATAACAAGCTGTAGTGAACCAGGCCTGTCCCACATGACACACTTGAGGAGTTGCAGACTTGCAATAGCTGTTGCGTGTGTGTGAACTTCACGAGACTAGGGTGGACAATTTAGGTTTCAGAAGGAGCTAACGTGCCCCTGATATGCCCTTTTGTTCAGCTCTACAATAACATCATCAAAGTGTGGAGTCGGAGGAATCACGTGAGGCCTTGGGGCTGCATTTGGAACAGGACCCTTGACAATGATTTACTAATTAAATCTATTTTGAAGGGTTTTAATACTTCACAGTCAAAAATCAAACGAGTAGAAACGTGAAGTGGAAATGTCAGGTGATATTAAACGGGAAAAAATAAAAACAGCAAAGAGATTTAACATTTACAATACATTTACAATATTGGAAAATGAATAGTGTTGGGAAGGTTATAGAAATGTAATGGGTTACAGATTACAAGTTAGCCTGATATTGAAGCAAGAACAGACTCTAGTTTCATTCTCACATGGTAACTTCTGATTTCTGGATGAAAAGATTTTTACATTTCCAACACTGGAACGCTTTTTTGTCACTTGCCATGGTGGCAACTCTCAAGACTTGTTGTAGCCTAATGTTACGTTCACACCGGACGCGAATAGCGCTTCAGGCGTGAATGATTTTCATGTTTAGTCAATGCAAAGACGCGTTACACGCGTAAAAATTCCTGCGGCGCGGAAGACGCGAATACGTCTCATTCGCGTGTCAAGTTCGCACGAATGCCGCGAATTGAGTGTCTGGTGCGTTAAGCGCGTTACGCGCGAATGATTTAGTTAGTGCCATTTGTGCATTCACGCGTTTGACGCGAATTCACGTCTGCCGAAGAAAAATCTGAACTTTGGCGTAAATTCGCGGCGCGTTAACCAATCAGGAGCCTAGCTGCTTGCTCACGTGGTGAAGTGTCTGGATGCTTCAATAAATTATTTTGTAATATGACTAAATGCCTGGTGGGATTATGCACAACAAAGCAAATATGTTATATTGAATGTTATTCATTCCATATCTAGATTATATGAAATAGTATTATGATGTAAAGACAATCAACATATGTGCATAAGTGGAGCGAGCAAATGGTGAAACTAGCCAAACGGTTCACCTCAGAAGGGTCCGGAGGACACAAATATACGGCGACGATGATCCCCCACGCCACTGTTCTGCTCTCCAGAGTAAATACAGAGCGGTGACTCTCTCGATGAATGCTCGGCCGACATAAAAACAATGGCCGCCAACAGATTTCGATTCTGACGCGCGTAAATTTCGCTTCAAACTTTTGTTTTTACATGCGTCAATTTCACTCTTGACACGCGAATTAACACAAAGTGGTCAAGCGTCAAACTAGACAGAACTAAACTAGAGTTTGACGCGCGATTCGCGTCCGGTGTGATCGTAGCATAAAGCTTTCAGCGCCAATGTGGATTGATGAAATTGGCTGACTTGGTGCACTGCAAATTCAATGAAAAGAAATAATAAACATCAGAATAGCATTGCTTCACTAAGCGGCCTTTAAAACGCAGGAGGCATCGTGACGGCAAACCTCCTCATGGAAAAAGTAGGCTGTCGTGTTTACAGCTGTGACAATGAGCGCTTATCAGTAGCAACTAAACGCTGGATTTAAAAATGTATGTCAAGTCTGTAAAGTTCGCAGCATAGACTCTTTAAACTACTTCCAAGTGTTTTACACACCGATCTGTTATTGTAAGGACATCGACGTTACATTTTCACACCTCTAAACATGACGTGGAACAGTGATTGGTTGCTTTACATGTCAGTCCTTGGCCAATGAAAGCTGCTATGGAGTCCAGACCTTCTGCTGTCAGTCTGAAGCTCTAATCTGGACTAAAAGACTAATCAGGAACTGATATAGAAACTGGTTCACATAGATCATTGCCCCCTAGTGGCGAACCATTGAAATTGTGAAACATTTCGAAACAGTTATGACACAGCGAAGCCTCATTTACTGAAATGATGTGAATTTGCCCTGAATAACAGGTTAGAAACAATTGATTCGCAAAGGTTTTAAAGCTTCACAAAGCAGTGTTTCGAAAGTGGCCATCACTATAACGATAAAATAGGGTGCTATCAAAACTGTGTAGTCATCACCTGTCAGCAGTGTGTGTGTGGTCTTAAGGAAGAATTCTGATTCCCCCCTTGAGAGTCTGATAATAAAGGACCATTGTGCCACTCTTATGCTCTGTCACCTGACAATTTGGGTCAAGTTAATTCGGTGATGTCTCATTACATTGTGCACCAGAGGTAACAAAGGACATTTATGCCTCAGGGACACTCTAGAGACCTTTCCTGACCTGATTATTGTAGCAAGCGTGACAGATTTCCTGCCAAGTTTGGCATGTTCCACATCAAACCAACATTCAAAAAGGAAAACTAAATGCAATCTAATTCCAATTGAGGAAAGAATAAATAGTCATCAAACTTTGTATTTTAATATCAGATATGTCGTTAGAAGCATTAACTCACATTCTTGAAGCCCCGGTAGAGGATTTGAAGCTCTTTGCGTGAGAAACGCGTTTGAGCCTCCAACAGCTCCAAAGCTTCTGGTCGATGCCGTACAGCAGAGAGCTCCAGTTCATCCTCAACACTATCTGTAAAGAAACACAAAACATCCGGGTTATGATTCAACTACTCATCTTAACAGCATTAATCGCATTTCTTTCAATTCATAATTAGTGTACCAAATAATGACGAAACAATTGAGGACTTTATATTTCACAGGGGATATTAGATGTACAACACTGAATGAGATCCAAAATATATATTTTTTTCTACATTAGTACTTATAAAACACAAATGACAGTTACATCGTTAACAACAAAAGCCACAAGTGACTGTATGAGTGAGTCATTGAATCATTCACTTCAACTAATTTGTCAAAAAAAAAAAACACTGATTCATTCATGAATGAAACAAGTGACTGACTATGTCTGAAATTGCATACTCAAATACTTTTTTTCTACTTTGCAACTGTTAAAAAGTATGTACTATATAGTATAAATGAGTGTAGTATGAATGTAATCTGGGCATACTACATTTGTCATAGGCTTCACAGGCATTCACAAATCCTCTTCCATGGCCTCAGTGCTAAAGTTGGATGCAAACTTTAAAATTTCAGTGCTAGTGATACTTTTTTTTTACTTTATAAAAACTGTGAATTGTGGACATGTTACTCGTTTCACATACTATATAGTTGGCAGGAATGCATATTCAGTTACAGCCAGTCTTTATGAGTGAGTTACTGAATCACTTCAACTGATTTGTTAAAGCTACACAGTGTGATTTTTACCCCCATCTAGCGGGGAAAAGGTATATGACCATCCAGTGAATATTAGTTTCTGCTCCTCTCAATTCCGATTTCGTTTTAACTCCTACGGTGGCCAATGTAGTCCAAGATTAACATGGCTTCCAGTTCGACCTCGTCCATGAGTGTTAACTCAAACGTAAATGCGAAAGGCGAAGCTTGAATTAACGGGTATGTCCCACTTTGGCTAATGTACTTTCAAGATGGAGGGGCAACATGGCGACCGACATTAGAACCCCTTACCCGTATGTATTTTCAATGGCATATTATACACACACGAGAATACTTTATTACTTGAATGAAGTAAATATACATTAATGAGCACATATATTTTTTTGAAAGAACTGTGTTTTTAGCTAAGAATAAACTAAAAGAGTAACACAGTGTAGCTTTAAAAGTAAAAATCAACCTTTGAGATGAAACCTCAAAATATCCAAAGTATGTTTTCAGCTCTGTTCTAGGACTTTCCATCTGTCCAAAGTATCTTAGCAGGTCTTGGTGTCTCAACCTATTAGCCTTAAATCTAAAAAAGCTTTCAGCTCATATTTAAGCCCTTTCACACCAAGGAAGATAATGATAAAGATATAGTTCTAAAAATAGGTTTCAAAATTAAAGAATAGCACAGTTCACACCACTATAACGGTAACGTTGTACGATATCATTGGGATCACTTTCAGAACGATTTTTTTTCCAGCTGTTAAATGATAAAACACTGACAGCCAATCAGAATTCATTGTAATTTAAGGGATTGTGCATTTATAATGGTTATGAAAAACATTTGTTGATACCCTCTGAATAATCGTAGAAGTGGGCACCGTTTCGCTTGGACAAAATGGTCTTGCTTCCTTTCCAAGATGTTGCTTTTATTCCACTATATTGACAAATTTACGTAATCTGAATTCGCTGTTAAATTATTAGATCAATCACACTAACTTCACTCAAAACATACAGTAGCATGATGAGGACATTCGCTGGTTAAAGCCGTGTAAATGCAACAATAACCTCAAAAACATGGCCAGCAATAACCACGAGCTTAGAGTAAGACCGTTATCGTTCATTGGTGTGGATGTAAATACAGTTATCATTATTGCTATCTTTATAGTTGAGCACCCCTTTCGGACATTGCGTTTCTCTAGCTCAGATCATCTAGCATCTGATATGACCTGTGACTGAGATTTACACATTATTACACCCCTAAAGGCTAAATAATCTTTAAAAATAATCACTGTGGAGCAGGAGCCAATAAAACATTTATCAATGGGATGTGATGGTGGCTATAAGGAAGGCACAGTGATTACTTTTGACACCTGAAGCGTGGAAGACAAATGACAGACATATGACCCTGTGATCCACAGAAGACGACTCGTCAACCGTTTGGCAAACAGAACTGACACATATAAACATCACTTTCTCATCGCAGAAGTGTCCCTCTGGGTGTATAGCAATCAAGTGTGACAGACTAATCGTAGCATCATTACCACATCATGCTAACAGCCCCGTTTCATAACATGATGCATATGTATTTCAACAACAACATTCGTTGGCATCTAAATGTGTTTGACACAACATAGAGCAGTCAATATGACCTTTCATCATTTGCTAGTCTACTTCAAGAATTCAATACTTTTGATATTTAGAATTATCTACATTGTTGGAGAGGGTATTCAGCGGTTATAACATATTCAGTATGATACGTAGCGGAATGTCATAAAAATAATGAAAAGAGTGAGAGATACAGAGAAGCCATTTCAAAAATGAAATGGTTAAGAAAAGTTAAATAAAAAGAAAAGAACTGAAAGGACTGACATTACCCTTGTGAAAAACAAGTACGCTTTTAAGAGTGCATACACTGTAAAAAATATTTTCAAGATTTGTTATCACAAAATATTTTCTTTTGTTAATTCAACTTTATAATAATTTATTTAGTTGAGATAACTTATTATTTTGAGTTTCTGATGATTAAATTAATCTCCTTCATTGTATTAACTCACTTTTTCCAGTTCAATCAACTTAAAATTTTAAGGCAACCCAGGTTACTTACTTTTTTAAGTGAAACCAACAATATTTTTTTACAGTGTAGTAATCACAACATTTTTTCTTTTGTCAAATCAACTTAAATAATTTATTTAGTTCAGATAACATAATATTTTGAGTTTTTTAATGATTAAATCATTCTCCTTCATTGTAACTCACTTTTTCCAGTTCAATGAACTTAAAATTTTAAGGCAACCAGGTTACTTACTTTAAGTTAAACCATCAATATTTTTTTTACAGTGTAGTGGAAAAAAGAGGCTTACTCTTTAAAAAAATATAGGCCTACTTATCTGTGTCATTATAATACATTTTCATTAGATTCAACATTACATTAATTCAACAGGACATCCTCACCCGCAATTACATAATTCTATTATATTTGAATTATGGTGAAAGTGTACTGCTGAATGTACTGATAAGCATTTATGATAAACTAAAATTATTCTTACATGTCATTTCTATTGAAAATTGTATGCATTTGAAAATATACTTGTAATTACACATTTGTAATTAAGTCATTTAGAACATTTCAAATATATTAAATGTGATATAAAAATACACAGTTATTATACACATGTACTTTACATTTACTCAACAAATCAAAATAAGTGTTATTATTTAAATTTCAACAAAATATTTAATGATTTAACCCATTTTTTCCCATAGTAGCAAAATAGACTTAAAATACTCATTTATGATCACACAGACTTAAGAAATATGAAAAAACCTGTAAAATATCAACGCATTCTCACCCCAAGGCGTCACCTTTGACCATGCTTCAATATTTGACGTTTTAGGCGCCCTTTAGCGTCACTTGCATGACGCGATCCTACGGCGTCATCTAACTGACGCTAAAGGAAAGCGTCAGTTAGAGGACGCGGTTAGGTTTAGGTGTGGGGTGGGGGTAGGGTACACGCGATCCTAGGGCGTCATCTAACTGACGCTAAAGGGCGCCTAAAGCGTCAGATATTGAAGCATGTCCAAATGCTTCCCAAGGCGTCAGTTAAATGACGCCTTGGGGGTGAGAATGGGCTGAAAATATCTACTTTTTTACGTTTCTTTCAATTAAAACATTCAATGTGACAACATTACAAAGTGTATTAAACTCATGAAAGTGTGCTCTCTTTAAATACACATAAGTGGCCTTTTATTTCAATAATGTATTATCTGAAAGTACAGTTAAAAAAAAATATATATATATATATGGCGTATACTATAAGTTCACAAACAATGAAGCGCACTTCTATTTCACAAGAGTATGGACAAAATACGCGGATAGAAATCTGTTTGAGGAAAGATGCTGCAGACTTGTGTTGAAAGAGGACTTGCTTTGTGTACTGGTGGATGGTGCTTTGGTAGAAGAGCATATGAACAGCTTCTTGAGCCGTGCCGTAACACCACACCTGCTGCCGTTCGGAAGGCAAGCGTTACCTAGGAGATACAGCGTGAGTGTCAACACAGTAACCATGGTGGAGCGGAGCATCGGGCGGCGGCATGCTGGCATGAGTTCATGAAGCAAAGGATGCATGGATTTGTAGTTTGAGTTTCGTGCAGATCCAGGATCAGTTTTAAGCTTTGTCAGTCTATTAGAATAACTTGATGACCTCTTCTGTTTTTTTTAATGCTGCTGAGCGAATTATATTTCTATTCTCTAAACCTCGACCCAACCATCACATAAATCTTTGATTTTCATAAAGACTTGGCTTATGGTATCCTTGTGGGTACATTTTGCTGGTTCTCACAATGGAGGTGATTTGAGGTGTTACTGTCTTTGTGGAGACATTAGATGCCTGCAGTGTAGGCAATACAGCCCTATTTCCACATTAAACCAGTTCACTGACCTTAATGAGGACCTATTATGCCCTTTTACAAGGTCTTGTGGGGTGTGTTTTTCCTACAATGATGTTACTTACTCATTAACTATACTCTTAGAAGAAAAGGTTTTATATAGAGCTGGTAAGTCCCGCCCATCCAAGTGGACCTCTAGGTTGAAAAAGCGTCAATGCAAGTGAATGACAGAAAATAATTATTTTCTGATCGCGTTTGAAATGTGCCATGAATGTAACACATGTTGTCTGTGAATTTTTTTAATATAATTTCTCATGTAACGAGTTTGACAGTATATTGTATGATTCTTTGGCTAGCAGTTGTGGAATAGACATAACGAGAAAGACTACACGTCGCATATGTGACGTCGCCGCATAACACATTTTCCCTCCACAAATCACGGTTTTCACCACGCTCGCACTAGTT